GGCCGGGGGCAAAGGGGGAGAATGAAGAAGTCAAAGAATACAAACTTAGACAAAAGAGTGAATGGCCCCGCCCACCTGGCCAAACTAATGGATGAACCATAAATCACAATGGAATGTCCTTCCCTAAAGACTCTTATTAAAAACCCGCCCCAATACCCTTTGAAGGTATGACATCTCCATTCTACATCTTCAGAATGAGGAACTCACCCGGGAGCTCCCGCCCCCCATCTCCCCACTTTAATAAAGCTACCTTAAGTTTTCCCTCGTTCTCTCTGATTTCTTCTTTAAGTCCGATAATTTAACAGTGTTGAGGATGGATTTAAGGGACTAAATGAGTCCCTGAGTCAGACAGAGCCTGTGCACCAGCTCCCCTGTACTTGGAGGGCTCATCTCTCTACGTGCACACCTGCCCTCCATCACTCTTGGCTCATCTGAAATGTCACTTCAGACATTCTTCCTTTAATGTGAGTATTGTGTCCTTCCCAAGTAATAGATATCAAGCTGGGAAAGGAAGAGAGTGAAAGAAAGGGAGGATGACCCCCCCTCCCCGTCCCCCAATCAGGTGGAATGACAGTGACTGGAACCCTGGGCTTGATTATGGTGAAGGTTGTGAAGAAGTCCAGGATAAGGTCCAGATCTGCTGTTAAACGTCATAGGGAACTTCAGGGCACCTAGCAACAACGGTAACAACAAATCCACTTTTCTTACAGGTCTTACCATCTGAGATGGCCTTGTTTATTTGATAATTATGCTGAATATTTACCAAATGTAACATGTTGTCATTGTTACCTGCTGTCGAGTCGATTACAACTCATAATAACCCTATGCACAAATAGGTCCGAACCCTGCTTTATCCTGAGCTGATCTCTCTGCTCTGACACACCTACCCCAGTTACTGTCCCAATCCATCTTACCCAGAATCTTCCTCTCCTGCACTGTCCCTCCCTCCACCCTTCTAAGCATGATGTTCTTCTCTAAGGACTGATCCCTCCTGGCGACATACCCAAAATATATGAGGCACAGCCACAAAATCCTTGCCTCTATGGAACAGTTGGGTTTCACCCTTTCCAGGAAAAATCTGGGTAAAATGCTTGTCTGTCATATATTGCTTTAAAGCTAAGCATCTAAATTAAGGCAGAATAGGGTAGGAGACTAATGGCAAGAAGCTGCCATGCAATCCCAAAGGCACACAGTTCGAGGCCACCAGCTGCCCCACAGGGGAAGGAAGGGCAATTTCCTCCCATATGATTAACGGCCTCTGAAAAGGGTCAGCGATGGCTCAGTTCTGACTTGATGATACACAGACTAAATGATTCACAACAACAACAACAAGGAAGAAGATTAACAATTCACTTCCAAAATAACAGGCCTTCAAAAACATTATGCACAATAGAGCACCCTCAGATTAAACTCGTTGATAGGACTAGAGAAGTTTAACAGACTCATGGTTAAATTTTTGAGAATCTACAAAATTCTTTGATGCTAAGATCTCTCAGAATCTAACTGGATAAATGACTTGGAGAGGACCTGGACCGCAATTCAAAGATCCAAGATAGAGATTCCACAAACCTCTAAGGTAGAGCCTGCTTCTGTATGTTATGTAAACCACTTATTGATACTTGCCATCTAGAACCAGAATAAACAAATGAACAGCCATCAGTTGGATTGTTATTATTAGATGCCGCTGAGTTGAGTACAACTCACAGTGACCCTACGAACAACAGATCTGAACCCTGTTCTATCCTGGGCCATCCTCACACTTCCTGACACACAAGAACCCATTGTGATAGTCACTGTGTCAATCCAGCTGATTGTAAGTCTTCCCCTCCTTCAGTGACCCTCCACACTTCCAAGCGTCATGGTCCTCTCCAAAGAACAGCCTCTCCTAGCAACAAGCTTGAAGTGTGTGAGGCGAAGCCTCATCATTCTTGCCTCCAAAGAGCATTCCAGCTGCACCCTCTTCAAGACATACCTGTTTGTTCTCTTGGCCGTCCATGGAATGTTCAGTGCTCTTCTCCAACACCACAGCTCAAAGGTGTCAATTCTCCTTTTGTCATCCTTAGTCATTGTCCAGCTTTCAGATGCACAGTTCATGATTGGAAAGACTATGGTCTGAATCAAATGTACCTTAGTCCTCAAACTGACATCATTGCTCCTCAATAATTGGGAGAAGTCCCTAACTGCAAATTTTTCCAGTGCAGAGCATCTTCTTTTTTCCTGACTGCTGGTGACAAGGGTGATAATTGTGGATCCAAGAAAGATGAAGCTGTTCAGTTTCAATCTTTTCTCCATCCATCATGATGTTGCGTATCGGGCCAGTTGTAAGAATCTTTGTTTTCTTGAGACTGAGATGCAATCCATACCCAAGACTGCATTCCTCGGTCTTCTGCAACAAGGGATTCAAGTCCTTCTCACTTTCAGCAAGCAAGGTTGTGTCACCTGCATAACACAGGTTATTGATGAGTCTCCCTCCAATCCTGATGCCACACTCTTCTTCATAGAGTCCAGCCTCTCAGATAATTTGCTCAGCATACAGATTAAATAGGCACGGAGAGAGAATAGAACACTAAAGCACTTTTTATCAATTTTAAACCATGCAGTGTTCTCCTGCTCTGTTCACACAATAGCCTCCAGGTCCAGGTATAGGTTCTGCAGGAGCAAGTTAAGTACTCTGGGTCTCTCATTCCTCTCAATGTCAGCCATAACTTGTTATGATCCACACAGCCAAGTGGATAGAACCCCACATATTAGAGAGTACAATGGCTTCCTTGGGTTATTTTTTATTGTTTAAGTTTTTACAGAAGCAGACGGTCAGATATTTCTTTTTTCTTCTTCTCTCTCTTTTTTTATTGTGAAAGTTTATAAAGCATATTGGTGCTTCATAGAACCATTCACACATGTTACTGTGTACACATGAATGACAATTCCCTCTACATAATCGTGCTTTCTCCACATTCTCCCTGTAATTCTTATTCACAAGCATCCGTCTAGCCTTACAGGATTGGTGTGGACCTTATATGCAGCACTGCAGGGATTTGAATCACTAACCCATACATGATGCTTCTGTGGCAGTTCACATTCCCCAGAGGCTCCAAGGGAGAAAAATGGGCAACCTTCTCTTGTGCAATTTGCAGCCTTCTGAAAACTTGCTGAGGAGCTAGTTATGAGTCAGTTCAATTTCTATGGCATATGAGTTTTTTGAGAGCTGGTTATTTTCAGGAGTCATTGCTTTCCTGGTGTTACTGTCTATACCAAGGGAATGTTTTGTTCCAAGTTCAAACAATGACTAAAGGCCATAGCCTTGACAGTTCCATGATCTTAACTGGAAGTGCATCCTGACTTATAAGGTATTTTCTCTCCATTCTATGTAGGATCTTTTGCTATGGCTCTTTTTAGAATAATTGTATGGTATGGTAACCAGGCATCAACTAGTTCTTCTATCAGACTTTTCTTCCCTGGTGCCACTGGGGTTAGTTGAATTACCAACCTTTTCTTTAGTAGTGGACACAAAGTACTGGTACCACCTGAGGGTCTGAATGAAGTCTTTTCTGTAGCCCTTGTGAGAAAGAACATTTACAATTCCAATGTGCACTAGGAGTTTGGAATGAGGACCCTAAGCATTCACTGTTCTGCAAATATTGTTGCTAGGTGGTCAGTGTTTATTACGGGTCTGATACGCAACAGCCATAAACAGATAAGGACTTTGAGCCCGACATATCTAAGTCATTGTAAGGTACTGGGCTTTGAGTACCATCTGTAGGAGTCTCAGGGTATATAATTAGAAGCTGACATTACAAAAAAAATTATGAATATAATGCCCACTCATGAGAAAGGGGGACGTCACTATGAAGAACTGATCTGCAGATGTTTTTTGGAACATAGGAAGTATATGGATTTCTCCTCCTGGAAGTTCACCTAGGCCGACTGCAGATCTCATCTCTGGGTAAGGCCCAAGAACTGTGCTGGCAATAAATGACGATGCTGCCTACCTATGTGTGTAAGTTATTGTGACTTTGTGTGTTTACACACCTGTATTTATGTGTGTCTCTTCATGTATTTGGGTATGTTTATCTCTCTTTCTCTCTGTGTATGTGTCTGTGGTAGGTGAGTGTGGAGGGTGCTTCTCAATGGGTTTAAGACTCTGGGAGAGAAGTTCATCACAGTTTGTGGTTATTTCAGGCTTCCACAAGAATAGAGAGAAAACATTACAAAAGCCAGAAGACCAAAGAGAATGAATTCACTAAAACATTGACTCCCCTAGGAAGCTTTTCCTAAGAAAAACAATAAGGAAGGGGGCCATTGACTTCCTGTAATCCTGTATCACTGATACAGTCATAATCCATCAATCCATACTGAGATAGGGACATACTGCACAGATCAGGCAGAAACACCACCAATCAGCTTGGTCATTCAAACATAAACCCCCTAAGTTATAAATGTGTATTCCTATTGAGTTGCTTTGACTTATGCAGCTCCATGTGTTAAAGAGAAGACCTCCTCTATTCCATAGGGATTTCCCCCCTTACCCTGGCTGTAGTATTTCTAGAAGTAGATCACCAGGTCTTTCTTCCATGATTCCAATGGGTGAATCCAACAACCAACCTTCAGGTTCAAAAACCAAATCCACAGGTGTTGA